CCCCAAAACCCCAAAACCCCAAAACCCCAAAACCCCAAAACCCCAAATATGCTATTCAGAATTGAATTTGTTTTATTCTTTATTTTCATATCAATTAAGTTTTATTTGATTGGATCTACTTATCAATTACTACCTCTTCAAAGCCATTCTCAAGAATAATTTGGGAGACCTCTTCCCTACTGAGTTTGTAATCGTGGAGAATAATTTTGTGCAGATTAGACTTGAAATCCTCACACTTCGAAAGCCCAGCAATTAAATTTTTAAAAAGAGAGCAGTCTTCCTCCCAATTCTCTTTGAAGCAACTCCTACAGCCGCTCAGATTCAAAGTCTGCAGTGTGCTTCCGACGAGATCTTCTTCAAAGACAGGAACTGAGTCTAACATTAGCTTGCATTTGAGCAAGCCCAATGTAATTTTAGTCTTATTAACAGAGATTAGCTTGACCAAGCGGTCTTGAGGTATCCTTAAGTTCCATAAAAATAGTTTTCCCATGACATTTGGGCAAATATAAAGTAAGTTCTGGACTAAATTATTAGACTCGAAATGATCAGTCGGATCGATATGAAGAGTTAAACTAGCAACTCTTTTGGGGAAGTATCTCTCTAGAAATTGGTTCAAATGGTCTACATCCCTAGGAATTGTAATGCCAATGCTTAATATCTCCAATTTAGGAAGTCTCATTTTAATTGATTTGATCAATTTAAGATGCTCTTCTTTATCAAATCTAAGAAAAAGATCAGTGTCATCTTCTGTGAATTTTACATAGCCACTGAGGTCTCTTCTCCAGGTTATTGTTGGTTTTAGTGATTCACAAAGAGCAGAGAACCCTTCTTTCGTGTATTGACCTATGAACCCATTATTTTACTGATCTTGACAATTTTAAGGTTAAAAGTAAGTTTAATAACTAGGATTAAATGCTCCTAAATTAAGAAGCTTATTGATCAATGAGATTTGTAAAATTGTATACTTTTAATGAATAAAACTATCAAAATAATGAAATTGAATGCACTAGATGCTGAATAGCACGCCTGAGTGCCACTGCCAGGACTTCTACTAAAACTCTAGACTTTTGAAAGTGGTTAAATGTAGCAAACTTCTTAGACTTTTGCTTAAAATTTAGGGTAAATTTTGAAGGTCTAATGAATATAATCTGAAATCTTAGTTCAATTGGATCTTTAGGAAATAGAGAATCAAGGAAACAGTACCTATGAGTTCATTAAATTGTTTTGAAAGTCTCTGATGGGCTTCAGATAGGGATTCAGAAAGTTTTGATGTTGTTTCAGCCTCTTTTTGAAGATTAGAAATAAACTCTGATTTTTGTTTGATCGATCTTTGTAGAGTTTGGTGTGATTTTATGATTTTTAAGTGTTTGGACTTAATTCCATTCCTAAAGTTTGCGAATTTGATAGAATAAGATTCATCTAACTCTTTGAGATGGATTGCTTGAGTATTTCTTAGAGTTTGTATTTCTTTATCAAAAGAAGCTTTCAATTCCACCATTGATTTCCTTTCATCAGTTAAATTTTCCTCAAGAATAACTATCTTGCTCTTCAATTGCTCATTTTCTGTATTAATTTGAATTTTTTCCACCTCAGCTTTACGTAATTTCTCTTCAAACTGCTCCACTTTTCTCTGAAACACCACTCTCTCTTCCTCCATTCTCCTTTCTTCTTCCTCTCTCATCTCCTCCACTCTCTGCTCAAACTCCCTCTCTCTCCTCTCAACTTCCCTCTGTCCTCTCTCCATTACCCTCACTCTCTGTTTCCCAAGCTGCTTGACGGTCTCCACCATCAATCCTTCATACCTCTGCCTGATTTCCTTCTCTACCAGTACACTATTCCTATCCTTCTCCTTCTTAACCACTCTTGTACAGTCTCTCCATACTTTCTCTACTGCAAATTCTCTGAAGTCTGCATCATTCTTTAAAATATCCTCTACCATTTGGGCTTCAGTAAGCAGGCGATGGATGGACTCCCACTGCTGGGCCTGGACTGCTGTACGGAGTTGGGAGAGGACTTTGGTGGATTCTTGCTTGATGGAGGGTAAGCAAGTCGTCCCAGTAGTGAGTTCCATTTCAAGCCAACATTCTTTGATCACTTTTAGTAAGAGGAATACAGGGTCTGGGGTGGTTATAGCAGAATTGAGGGATCTCGAGGAAATTCAGTGATTTTGCAACTGTGGCAGATGTATAAGCTTGCTGATGGGAGGGTGTACGGGGAACTGGCATATTGCGACGGGTTCTTGCATAGACCGTTTTGGCATCTGGGGAATTCCATATTTTAGAAATTATTATTAAGGTTAGGAAAGATTTTTTGGGGTTTTGGGGTTTTGGGGTTTTGGGGTTTTGGGG